GAGGTAATAGGGGCGACAGTGGCTCAGTTGGTAAAGCATTGGCCTTTGAGCCTGAAGGTTGTGGGTTCGAGCCCACCACGAGGCCTACTTCATGACTCCCACTGATGACTGCTGTTGTTGTGTCCTTGGGCAAGACACTTAACCCCACTTTGCCTGAAGCCCCTGCTGAAAGATCAAGGCTCCTGTGGACTCATCACCTGCAGGAGGATCAGTGAGGGGCTGGTGCTCTGTGTACTGGGTGGCATCTCTGGTCACCCCCCCGACCCAGAAATGGATTAAGGGGAAGAAAATGGATGGATGGATGGATGAGGTAATAACTGCTTGAAGCAAGTGGTTTTTTATCTTTTTTTGAGGACATTCTGAATGTCTTAAAACAAGATCTGTCAATAGGACAAAGCCATTTGTCTGTTGCTTTATTTTATCATTCTAAGGGAGACATTTGTTGTATCGTTTTAAAACAAGATAATTTCACTTGTCCCATTGGGAAATCTTGTTTTAAGGCCGTCGTAAAGTTCTCAAATTAAGATAAATTTTGCAAATTTTGAGAATTTTTTTGACATATTTTTCATCACTTTTTGCATTGTATGTATTATTAATGGCCCATTAGAAGTTAAGTACCCAAGCTTTAATCCAATATCATACTGCGGACATTTCACACCATTTCAATTCTGTTATACAAACACAATCTTTGCAATGCACGTTCTTACTGTAAATACATTTTTTTTACATTTTCAGTTGTTGCTCTTCGCTTCATGTTTTGGTTATATCTACAACATTATGTCAGTACAGCGCACAGTTCCGGAGTCACGAGTTTTCGGACCGAGGCAGACATACGATACACTGGTCTCATTATCGCACTTCTTTGTTGGCGCTAATGGAGCCGCTCCCGTTGGGTTGCCATATGTCGCGCATTAATCCTCGTCACGGCCCCCTCCCCTCCTCCGATGCCCCCAGAACAAAAGATCACCATCCCATATACAACATTTACACAATATACAGTCGTCATTTATTACACCGCGGCCCGCTCCGGTCTTGGCCCACTTTCAACACGCCAACTTTGACCTTTTACAGAGCCATAAAAATAAGCTAATTCCAGCCGCTAAATAGAAATTATCTCAAAGTTGCACATTTTAGCTCAGTGGCAAGTCACCCGTCGACCTCTGTTGTTTTAGTTTCACTTTTTGAGGACGTTTTAGCGTTCAGAAAGCAAGAATAGTTTGCGTTCATGAAGACAAATTCTCTTTTAGGGTTTGAAACTGTACCACACATAAGGTTGTGTTGTGATATTGTATGCAGTTTGATTAGCTTCATGATAGAAACAGGTTCATTTACTTCCTGTTCAAATCTGCAGATAAGAACCACCTATCAAATCATTTGCATGTTGTAATGTTGACAAATGGCTATCTGACTATCTTGAACCACACATACACACACGCACACACACACACATACACGTTTTTGTTACCTGGTGGGTCCCTTTGACAGGGCCGTTCAGAATGGGACCCATAGACATAATCTTTTTTTACCAAGACTTTAAGTAATACAAAACAGTCAATAGAAACCAAACAACTATTTTAAAGGAATTTTATTTTAGATTTTGTTTTCGAATTGCAGTGATTCTATTTTTGACATAGAATTTAATGCCACTCCATGTCCGATGTCTAAGGTCATCTGGTGAGGCATTAATGCAGGCCAGGCAGTGAGACTTCCCAGGGACCTTTCCAGTCTGTATGAAAGGTGTCATGGTCTTCTCCACAGCCTTCACCTCAGATGCAGACCATGGCTTTCTTACACGTTCTAGGGAGAGAAATAAAAATATATTAGCAATATACACTCCCAGGGTGAGGACCAAGCAGCCTGGCTGTAATCCCCCACCTGGTACACTTACCAGAAGGGGCACTGCCACTACCATGGGGTGCATCTGGATGAATGGTTGAAGGTTCTCCGCTTGAAGTTTCTTTTAGCCCGTCCGTTTGTGAGAGGATCTCTACTGCTCTCCCTGTCGCACAGAAAATAAAAATACAAGTGGCCTTTAGGGGAAAAAAATCATACATATTTTAATAATATCAAGAATTACCTTCAGGCTCAATTTGTATCTGGTCGAGGCTCTTTCCTTCGAATTCCGTCACTCTTCCCTGCTCCATGGCCATCAACACTTTGCTGATTTTGGCCAGCTCCAGTGTCCCCTCTGGTAGTCTGTAATATTGCCTGTGGATGCGAATGTCATGGCCGAGGAAGTTGGCAAGTATGTCCATCTCATTCTCTTTCATATTGAGAACTGTAGACATAGTAGCTATGTGCTTTCTAAGTTTGGTTGAGGATAGCATCTCTGGATGCACCGCACCACATTCTTTGGCTACCTGGCGTAGGGAGTCTGATCCCCTGATGTGGGTGTCTGCGCCCGGGCGGGAAAAGAAGTATGGGTTATGGTCAGAGATGGAACAGGCCCTTCTGTTCTCCACCAGCACCTCCATCGAAGCAATCATTTCAGGAGTCAAAAGAACCGGCACTTTCCGACTTCTTTTCCCTTTAATTTCAATGCGTTGAAAATGCTGACACAGCTTTTTCTCAAGTTGGGACAGTCCCAGAGCAATGTCAGAATGGATCCCAGTCTTACTTCTTAAGGTAAAGGCTGTCAGTGGCATCTTTGAAACCTCACCTTCCCTTCTTCGATTGAAAATGATGACCTCACAAAGAGTCAAAACTGCCAGTTTAGACCAATGCTTAGACGTTGGCTCACTTATTAGGGTTTGCACATATTCAGGTCGACATACCTCAATATGTGCATGCATGGCTCTAACGTCCTCAGTCAGAGGGAGCAGGTCCGGAGTGTTCCACTTGGCTTGCCGGAGGGTCTGTAGGGCAGCAGAAGAAACACAGACGTCCCACCTCTTCTCAAAAAGCAGCCGGCTTCGTTGGAGGTTTTTAATAAATAGTTCATCAACACAATGCTCCATTTTTGAGTCACATTCAAGAATATCTGCTAGCTTTCTGAGGCTATGGCCGAGTTTGAGGGCCAAGGATGGAGTCTTGTATTGATTTGTTTCCTCATCATATCCAGCCACAGACCTGACTGCATCAATCACATGGTTAAAGTTGGAAGGAATAAAGAAATCCTTAATTGTTTTCAGTTTCCCTGCGGTTTTTGCTTCGTTAATTAACCTACCGACTTCTCTCATTTTCTGCCTAATGTAATCATGCTTTGTCTTATCATGCCCGTGTTTTAAGTACAGGTGCTCTCCGAGTCTCAGAATCCCCTTTTCTGCTTTGACAACACCCGTGACCTCATCCTGATGCATTGCCGAAATTAAAGACCACAGCTTTTTGCTGATGCCCTCCGGTACAGGCTGGGCTAGGGAGCAGAGGGACTGGACCCTACTTCTACCTGGTTTAGCCTGGGCATCTTTCTGTGAAAGCCGGCACCTGGCCACATGCCTCCACAGCGACTTTCGCTTAAGCAATGCCCCACAGTCTATACAGTGCAAAAACTCACTGGATTTAACTGGGCAATTTGGCTGTTTAGCTGGGACTAAAGTTCCAATGCCGGCCTTTAAAACCTCAAAATTGTGCTCACGGTTTCCACTATTCCTGATCAAATCAAACTGAAGTTTACGTGCTTTAGATTTCACAGGTAGAGCCAATGCTCTGGCTACGTCACTTTCATTTCCATGTTTTCTAGTCAAATGACGGGACATTTTGTGGCAGGACATTGAACAGTAGAGGCAGAAGTGTCTCTTGCTGTATACTCGCCCCCCATTTTTCTTCTTTTGCAGCTGCATGATAACAATCTTATTTGCCTTTGGTTCGTCACTTTCCGAGTCTTGAAGAAAAGTGTTTTTGATTTTTCTTTTTCCATACTTTTTTACAGGTTTCTTCTTGACAGTTAAATTGTCAGAATCTGAGTCGACTTCATCAATTAGGGACTCTTGACTAAGCTGCACAAACAACAAATAATTTGTAATCATTCTATATAACAATTTGAAGTCATGACTTGTAGTCAGCACTTACCAGTGGTTTGTAAGCGTGCGCTTCAGTGTGCTCCTCCATGATTTCTTGCAGCCTAATGAACCACACACTTGCACCTTTTTCTAGCCTGACACCTGATTTCCTCTGTTGTGCTGCTCCATGATTGGCTCCAGCCTGCTGGACTGAAATTGCCCCAGTGTGCCCCTCCTTGATATCCCGCAACCCACCACCAGGGTTCCGACACATAACACACTTTTTTCAGGAAAGTAAACCTCCAGGGGTCCTTTCCATATTTTTTACAGAGACTGCATAAGGACCGTTAGAAAAGCATTACCCATTGATTATTAAGCTTGGACCAGTGGGGTCCGGTGTTCGGGCCCCACCACGTAAAACCAGTCCCCATGACGTGAGTGGAATCTCAGGTTATGGAACCCACCAGGAGTTGAAAACAAGTGCACACACGCACGCACACAAACATGCATACACACACACGGAAGGGTGGATATATAATGATACTGGACGATACAAAAATATTCTCATGCTAACTCCTGACAGGTTTATAACAACAATGAATGCAAAATAAAAATACATGTATTTTGAAGTTTATAGCTATAATAGAATTTTGTGCAGAAATGAAAAAATCTTGTGGTAATTATAACTATAATTACTATAGTTTATAGTAATTATGGAGAAGATTTGGTATCAGAATACATACTTTTTCCAATTACAAACTTTCAAAATATGCTCAAATCGGCAGAAACTGAGTGAGGTTTTTCTTGCTTTTAGACCATTTCTTTGTTTTGACAGAAGATACACTAACTGATTGATTGTTTGAACTTTTTGATTCTCTAATCTGTGTCGGCAAATTCTACGGTTTTGTAAAGGCCTCCGAAATAACCGCTGTTGTGATTTAGAGCTATACAAGAATACGTTGAATTGAAAGCTTGGTCTTTCTGGTGGCCCACTCTGCCGCAGCCGGAGCAGGTCCCACTGGGAGAGGCTGGGGACCGCGGGTGTAAAAGCCTCCTGGTGTGATGCTGTACGTGTGAAAAGAGAGAAGGAACATGGAGACAAACTGAACATGAACTGAACATGAGACGCCCGCCACTCCAAATGAACTCGGATTCACCTCTCAGGAATAAAAAACATCCAAACTTGAAGCCTTTGTGTATGACTCCTGGAATGTTTGTGATGGAAAACTCAATTGTTAAAACAATCACGACGATATATTACAAGCTGATGCGTTCTTTATTAGTAATTTGTTTTGAATTTGACAAACGAGATGAAGTTGTAGCCATATCATAGACTTTGAGGCTGACAGAGTTCTGACCTCACCATAGTGTTAGCCTTGATGCGCAAGAATGTTAAAATAAGCTAGCTGGAGCCACTTAGCAACTGCTAAGACTGTTGCTAAGGCAAGCTCAAGTTTCCCCTCTAAAAGAAGACGTCTGATTGGTTGATAATTATATGGCTGGATTTTTTTGTTTTTTTTAACCGTTATTTAACCAGGAAAGTCCCATTGAGATTAAGAGCCTCATTTTCAAGGGAGTCCTGGAATTTACCTGGATGTTCTGACTGTGTAGTAATGTCACCACAGTGTTAGCCTTAATGCGTAAGAAGCCATTTTGAAAATTAGCTAGCTGAAGCCAAGTTGCTAAGCTAGTTGCTAAGGAAAGCTGGAGTTTCCCCTGTAAATGAAGACATCTGATTGGTCGATACTGATATGGCTGGATATACCTGGATATACAAAGACCATTTCAAAACGCATGTATAAACCCCAGGATCGTAGGGAGCGCTAAACCACAGGCCGTAATGGTGATTGTGACACAAGCTGTAACTGAGCGATTATTTTTCAGCGTAAGTCAGTAGGAGACTTTGTCCATGAGCACTTTCCTGTTGGGCTTAACCTGGTCCATATACTCTATATACAGTCAATGAAGCAGGAGTGTCCAAACTATGAGTGCCAAATGCAAAATACAAGTTAATCATAAACCTCTTCTGATTATAGGGGAAGTACAAGATCAATACTGTATTTATTTAGTTTAACAAGACAAATGTAGCCAGTGTTCTGTCGCTGTAAGGACTCTATCGGCTTATTGTTCAATAATAAATTTTGCAATGAATGAATTAATAATGAATAAATAGGACATACGGAGGTCAATATTTATTTGTCACTTTTACAAAAACTTTACAAGAACTTTTTTCTCTTTTTTTAATGGATACAGTTATACAACATTGGAGAATGTTGAATACTAGGGCCAGTCTCAGATCCCAGCCCGGGCCAATCCCAGACCCCAACGCAGGCCAGTCCCAGCTCTACACTAGGACAATCCTAGACCCCAACTCAAACCAGTCCCCATACTCCAACTGAGGCCAGACCCAGAACTTCTATATGTATTTAGACTTTTTTTTTTGCTCTTGGGACGGTGGCCTCTCTTTGAACGTTGGGGTTTAATATTGAGTTTGTGCCTTATAGAGTGAACAGGTGCATGTCCGCGCCTGCTTCACTGACTCTGAGACAATGGACACACTGTCATCACCGCAGCCTTCTACCTGCATGTGTCCATAGTATACCACAGCGTACAATGGTCGCTGAGAGAGTGGGTGAAGGAAATATTCTTATGATAAAGAAAAAAAAAATGCACGTTACAACTGAGGTACGTAACTTCCAAACCACAGAAATGTGAGCTAGGCAATGAAATCAAACTAGTTTCTTTCTCTCAAAACAGATTGGTTATATAACTAGTTTTCACATGCATTCGTCTTATGGCTCTTGTCACATTGTTAAATACGCTTTTTAAGACAGAAAAGTGAAAAAAGAGACCACGCTCACTCAGCCCATCAGCTTTCTTACAAGTATGCAAAAGATAACTTGTTTTTATGATTTGTTCACAACTTTTTCTCCTTTTACACTATTGAGATCAATCAATCAAAAAACTTAGGTACCCCAGCTTTAAGAGAATCTTTGCTAAAATATGTTACTAACACAAAACCCTGATACCCCCAGTTATCCTCTATACAAACGATTACAAACCAGTGGAATTGTCAGTTTGTCGACAATGTCTATTGTTAATGTTATTTAACTCTACGCAGCTCAGATCTATTCGTTGAAAATCAATAAAGAAAAAGAAGAAAATAAAAATTCCCTATTGCAAAGAATCCAAGAATGTTTCATGTATGTAATACTGACAAAGCTATAATAAAAATACAGCTTTAGTCCTTCCTTATGATGATGATCCGAGACATTTATGAACATTTATGGACATTGGTCGTGCCGCTCCCTATGGACAAATGGCTCCTATGTGTTTGTTATTGTTGCATTTCTGTGTTCGAATGGTTTGATTCTCTGATCTGTTGTTGAGGAATTGACAACTTTATAAAGTCCTTCAAGACCACTGCTTTTGTGAAGTAGTGCTGTATAAAAATGACTAAAAGGCCACTTAGTAAAAATGAGATTGTCTGAAAGGGGATGTATTGTGCTTTTTTTTGGCATTACACATCTGACTGTAAACTTGATCCCGAAATGAAATCCTATTGTGATATTATCCCGGCCTGTAATGGGTTTGTATCATGGATTTGTGTTTCGTTAAAGTGTGAAATTCCTGTCTAAAATTGTTGTTCAGAGTAGAAAACTGGTCGCGCTTGCCAAGCTAACAGTTTGCGTGTTTGGGCAGTATGTTTTGGGGGTTCTGCTGTCCGGTCCTCCTGTATTATGCATGTGCACGTTGGCAGGAGGAAAACCTGGAATTACAGTAACAGCAGAGAGGGAGAGGTGTGTGCATACAGGCCATTTCTCTGCAGGGGGCGAGCGAACAGATGGGCGTCCAAAGTCATTTACACCTAGAGACGCAGAGAGAGAGAGAGAAAGAGAAAGAAAGAAAGAGAAAGACAGAGAAGTGAAGGGACGCAACACAACACTATCCTCCACAAATGTATACGTGCGCCAAACATATTTACATTAAGAACCGTGTTGGGGAGAATACTATGAAAAAGTATTCCGTTCCAGAATACCTAAAATGTATTTTGTAGAGTATTCTGTTAATTTGGAAAAAAATAGTAGCTGTATTCCGGATACTTAAAATACTTGTAGTTATACGTAATCGATATTTTTATAATATTTATATGTATTGTAAATTAATGTTTATTTACACAACTTATAAAAGGTAATTTTCAAAGTATTTAAAACCACAACCTCAATACATGTTTAAATAAATTAGGCATATTCTGTAATTATTCAATAGTTTGTTGTTTATTTTTTGTTAAATTAATTCACGGTGGTTCAACAGCTGCAATCTCAACTTTAAGTAAACCCCATATTTTATTTTCTTCTTTTTAACCTTAAAAAACGTAATGTGGAAAAATATGCATTCCCGTGATTTTCAGAAAGTAACTGTAATCTATATACTATATTTTAAAGTAATAACTGTCAGAGAATACAGTTACTCAAGACCATTCTGAATACGTAAAGTCTGTTACTAATTAAGGAAAACATTGTGTATATTTAAAAAGACATGATGCAGATTGATGAGGCTTGTTTTCTAGGAAGAGATGAGCTAAATTAATATAAAGTGATTAAAGCTTGGGTACCTGACTTTCAAACCTCAAACCATGTAATTATGTTGTAAAAGTCGTTAAACAAGTCCCTCGCTCAACAGCTTGCTTCTATGAATGAAGTTTTCACATGCGTATTTCTGACCTCTGTCGCATCTTCAGATCTGCTTTGTTCAGATCGAAATCGCAACGTTTTAAAGCTAGAGTACCTAACTTTTTTCATATATTTGTAAAGAAGTGAAACAAATCAGCCAACCACATACTGTCTTCATCAGAATAAATGACAACATTCTATTTTACATATTTATAAGAAAGAGGAGTCAGTATTTGACTCTTTGGGCTGAGAACTGATTGGCTGAGAGAAGGTGGTCCTCTCTTTGTCTCTTTTCTGGCTGAAAAACAGATCTAAAGATTTGACAGAGACCTAGAACTGGCGATTCCAGACTATTTTGAGGCTTTTGAGCTTTAAGTTTTTATTCAATTTTTTTTTTAGTTTGAAAGCTAGGGGAAACACTTTTAAACACATTTTTCATGTAGCTGAAATGGGAAATATGCTGTTTTTAGGAGTTGAAACAGACATGGATTATTTTTTAATTCAATTTGCTAATACATTTGCTTTTTATTTGGTCTTACACATATAATGCTGTAGCTACCATTTTAACTAATTGACTGCCAGCCATTTTTCATAATTTCACTGATTCTCAAGACCCCTAGAATATTATTTATTATTATTATGTAAAATGTGAAACCAGATTTTGAAAGACTTGATTGTCTACTTTGATCAGCAAAAATAAGTTTGTTTTTAGCTATTTTTATTTTCCTGTAATCCCCAGTCGAATAGAGGGTCTAAGACAAATACGTCAATGGCAGTCAATGAGTCAATATTGACCAACCCACAACAATAATCTCCTTCTTCCTATTTCATTAACGCTGTCCAAAATCAGTGTCAAATATTGAGTAATATTTCTGTAAATGTCATGACTGCACTACTTTCTACGTCGTCTTCCTTGAGTCCTGTCCTCCGTGGTCAGCGTGTGTGTCCTTTACACCTCACAATTTCTCTCCATAAGTGAAAAAAGCTTCAAAAAAAAAAAAAGAAGAGGAAAGTTGTGTATATTTTAAGAAGCGTCAGGTCCTGCTGCTCCGGGAGGTGTGAAGAGAACAGACGCTACTCCGTTCCTCCGTGACACTCGCTGAAAGCCACCTGCAGCTCTCCTCCAATCACGTTCCAGAACTCAGCCCCCAATTAAGCACATTATAGCCTCGCTGCAGTGGGTCAGAACTGTGCTGCTTCTCATGTGATTGGCTTAAAACATCCCGCTGGCTGTTTAGATCGATGTTTCTCACCTTGTTTCCCCTCAGACCCTCCGCACAAAACCACTTAATGTAGTCGTGACCAAAGTTGCAAGTATTTTTCCATCACCGATTATAAGTTGCGATACTCACTTCATACGTTATTGCCGTTATTGTAGCGAAATGCATTTGATCCATCCTTCATTATTGATGCTCTTGATTAGGACCGGGGCTGGAGGATTTAACCTATTGTGCATGAGCGGTAGTGTCAATGCAAAGGCAAGTTTATATATGTAGCATAATTAAGAAATAAGGTGTTCCGCTCTGCAAAGAGGACTGTGAGCTGTGAGCTTCCTGTTCTTGAGGTTCTTTATGCATCCACCCTGGAAAAGCCATGTTCCAGCTTCTTCCATCTGGCCGAAGATCTCCTTTTGCTGTTTAAACTGAGCACTTTAATGATCTTGCTTTTGTATTGAAATTGTTTTAGTCGATTAATTTCACAGTGCCAATTGTCTACTGTTTTGTTTCTTTTATTTATGGACTTGTCTTGTGCACGCTTGGGACTTTGCAAATGTATTCCAATGTGATTTTACTGCAAATGGCAAATAAATTTATCTGAATCTGAATACAGAAAGAAACCCAATGTACTGAGTTGGAGGGAAAAACTGAGCACACGGAGGAAACTTAGGCAGACACAGGGAGAACATGCAAACCCCTCAGAAAGGCCCTTTTCGGACCGAGGTTTGGGTGGGATTCTATATACTGGGGAAACCCGGAAAAAGTTGTTCAAAAGTCTTGCTTCTATATACTTGCGAGTGAACATACTGAGTGTATGACTGACTTTTTACACACAAAGTGAAATATATCTAGCTTTTTTTTGTCATAATGTTAATAATTGGCTTACAAGCTCTTGCAAACTGACACTTTTCTGTGCTTCTGTTGTTTGAAAGTTAGGTACTCCAGCTTTAATATGCGTAGATAAAGTCATTAGTGGTTATAGTTTTACTGCCGACTTTAAATCAAAATGTCTTCCTTTTAGCTGTGAGATCTCAAGTGTCATAAATAACCACGGACAGTATAGTAAACCAAGATACAGTACTTACTTTGGTGAATGTTCCTAAACTTGGTAAACTATAAAGTCTTTCAACTTATTGCCCAATATATTGACTGTTTTTCTGGTTCTTCCCCAGCTCTCGCCCGGGCCGTCCCCCCAAGCGGTGCTCCGCGGCTGGGCTTCAGGAGGGCCCACGCCTGCTTCACCCTGGTCTGCCCGGCCTGCTGTCCCCCAACCTGCTGTCGCACACTGGTAAGACCTCAGTAGTCTTATGGAATACATTATACTATAGGGTTAGTGTGCACATTGCACATTTTTGTCATGTTGCAACAACAAACAAAATATTATACGTTTCTGAAAGACAAAAACAAAGGAAAAAAACTGTGAAAGTGAAAGCTAAAGTATGTTATTATGTAATAAGTATGCATAAGTATTCATACACCACAAATGTATACTTTGTGAAACCCTATTTTGCTGCGATCACAGTTGTGACTTTGGGTGTTTGACTATAGACAGTTTTTATATTTTAAATACATTTTAAAATCATGTTGATTGTTACTGTGTAGTGCCTTCTCAGTAAAAAGTATTTTATACAAAAGTTCAAATAATGGAGCTTGTAGCTAATTGTGCCATATTTTTCGGAGGAGGCCGATAGCACATACTGTTGCCTCGCTTCTGTCAGTCTGCCCAAGGGCAGCTGTGGCTACAGTTGTAGTTTATCACCACCATGGAGTGGTGATGGTGAAAGAATAATGAGGAGTGAAAGAATAACAATGTGTGACAATGCTATATATTATCCATCCATCCATTTTCTACCCTTTAATCCATTTCTGGGTCAGGGGGGTGGCAATCAGAGATGCCACCCAAGTCTCAGAACACCAGCCCCTCACTGACCCTCTGCAGGTGGTGAGTCCACAGGAGGACGGCTGCTATATATTATTACTTTTATATTTATTTGTGCTAAAATTATGAGCGGAACGAATGGAACGTACAATTTGCCCCATTCATCAACTACTGTATTAACAGTTTTGTTAAAATGTTTGAAACAGTATTTACTGATCCAAAAGGCTGCTTTACTTTCCCAAATCCAGTCTTTTTATCAACTGAAATGCAGATCAACATAGACTTTCAAATGTCAGTGAGGTTGTGTTGGAGCAGATTTATGCCCCGAGCTTTGGCTGGGAGGCTGACACTGTCCTGGAATCTGATTGGTGGAGGCTGTTGTGGACAGTGTAATTCAGGAAAATATTCTTCACACCAGTCACTGTTTTTTGTGTGGTTTCCTGTAGTAGTGCAGCCATTCTGTGTGTCCTTGTGCGGCAGTGTCAGGTGTTGTGGTAATAAAACATGTGTGAGACATACAGGACATAGCTCCGATCCGCAATCTTCTGTTTGATGCTCGAGGGAAAAGTTTAGGTTTTTACAGTTGATGACAAGGGATATAACACGTGATTGATTATGCAACTTCACATTAGATTCAGTGTTTTGAGTAAAATATGAATCTTGTCATTTTTTAACACATATTGTGACGAGGGAGTGGAACTGCTTGGATCTGCCTATGCCACACGTTTTAAACTCATTTTAAACTAATCTAACATTATGCAGTTACTCACAAGGGCATGCACAGTTTCTAGTTTACATTTTACATCTTGAATCTGTTTTCTGATATTTTAATTCATGAAGTTTTCAATGCACATATTTTGTCCTGTGTTTTAGATCGCTGTTAACCATTCATTTGAGAATCACCTTTGGGAAAAAGAAAATACTAAAGAATAAAGACCTTAAACGAGGATAGAAATGTAGTGTCATCTGCTACTGCTCAATCTCACACACATTACAGTATGGCATCCATGGAGACCGCTGCCATGGAGACCGCTGTTGTTTACAATGTGGAGGGCGCCACACCGATGGGGGGCATGGTAGACAGACACTAATCACAGGGTTAAAACAACACAGAACTAAAAGGATTACATGGGGTTACATGTAGGGTTAGGATTTTTTGCAGTTCGAGTTCCTATTGTGTTAACTCAAGAACAGGTTTTTTTAAAGTAAAATATACAACAAATGCCACAAAATTCTGTCTTTTATTGTTTTAGAAAACCTTTAATCATTTTCATAATTAAGAACGAGCCCTGTGAGTCACAATTTGACACTTTCGGCTCAGAGTTGATTGGCTGAGAGAGGGTGGTCCTGTCTTTTTCGATTTTCTGTCTGAAAAAGCTGATCTGAAGATGTGATAGAAGCCATAATCGTCTGGAAGTAGTGATAAAATCAAACTGTGGAGCAGCAAAAAACTCAATATAGATAGTTTGTATTTCATCAATTTTGTTTTGGTGGTTTGAAAAATGGGTACCTCAGCTTTACTAATTCACAAAACGCACTCATAGACATTCAAATAAACATGAAATTTAACAAAACCAAGACTAGACTGTCTGGACATAGTAAAGATGGTAGTAAAGGCGGCGGGGCAGACTGTTTGGGGGAGTGTGTGAGTGTGGGAGGCTGCAGCTCATTTGACTTGATAATTCACTTTTTCACTTTGTGTTGAATGGAGTTCCTTGTGTCACACACTCTGCCCTGTTCACACAGATGTCACGGCAAAGAACAGACTTATCTCAAACCTCCAACACTAGCTTTGATATCTATGACAATAATCGGTTTGAAATGACCTCCAAAAGCTGGTTCTGTTTCCTTCATATACCAATCTATGTGTTTAACTTACTAACTTAAGCGAGGCATGGACTGACTCAGATCTGACCTCACCTTTGTGTTTGTCGAATGCAGAGGAAGCCGATTTGAGCATAAGCTAGCTGGAGCCAATTTCCTTATATGGGCATTTGTTCCAAGGGGGTAAGCTTTGTGCCATAACAGGGGCAGATGTGTTGCTATGTCTGTTGCTAGGGAAAGATGGGGCAGAGTGGATAGCACTCCGGCTTCTCAGCAAGAAGGTCCTGGGTTTGAATCCCAGTCGGATCAGGACCTTTCTGAGTGGTGTTTGCATGTTCTCCCTGTGTCTGCATAGGTTTCTTCCTGCTCCTCCTGTTTCCCTTACCACTAAAAACATGCACTACATGTAAATCCTGACCAAGCCCAATCTCAACATCTGAAGATGGGTTCCCTGACCAACCCCATAGTGGCATTTGCAGGATGGGTCAAGTGCACATTTAAAGAGGAAGTATTGCAGGCAAATGAAGGTGTCTGATGGTGTATGAGCCAAACTGTGTCCGTTAGCACTTCCTTATTGGGCTTCATACGGCTAGGGGGTTAGCATTGTGCATTGATATGAATACATATCATACAGTCACATAATGTGTTAAAGGAAACATACTGCATTACAAGTAAGTAAGTAACATTTATTTATATACCACCTTTCACAGACCAGAGTCACAAAGCGCTTTACAATTATGGGCATTTGACCTCTCACTCCACACAGAGATGGGAGCGGGGTCGCCAGTACAGGAGGCCCATGCCAGACCTCCACTCAGAAAGGCCCTGTTCTGTCCGGGATTCGAACCAACGACCTTCTTGCTGAGAAGCGAGAGTGCCATCCGCTCAGCCACCGTGCCACCCATAAAAAAAATCAAAACCAATGGAGTTATTTCTACATCCAACGTCCAACTTGTTAAGATTTGTTGCTATGCATATAGAACTTGAAATTGTGTATACATAAATACTAAATGGGAATACAGTCCTAACTATTTCAGTCATTTCAGTTAGTAATCCAGTAATACAGATATTCATGGCATAAATGCAGAGTCTGGTGATGATTTTGGGCTAAAAACATCACACATACCACACATAGCTGAAACAATTGACAAAGAGAAAAATGTTGTAACAAGTGTTTTTGTTAAAAGCTTTGACTATTATGGGTATTTTAGAGCAAATGAACGACTCCGTAGCGAGTCCCTCCCCTTCCCTCTCTGGGGTGTTTTTGGAGAGCATTGGTGCAGGTTACAGATGAAGAGCCTGCGTGAAAAGAGGACACTTGTGCTGAGAGGCCGTGCACCTGCAGAGCTCAGAGAGATTCGACCAAAGTCCAAGCTCGCTGCGTTTCATAATAGAACTTCACATAATGAGCCGTGTAGACCCCATAATGTACTTCAGCTTCAAGGGCCTCTTCCCTCTTCACATAAACCTCTCATACAACGGATCTGAATGTTCTATTAACTCCATTTGCATTAAGGTGAATAAGAGACCGCTGGGTATAGAGCGGCCGCCGTCAACCAAAATGTTTAGGGTTGTACGATTTTATTATCCGACTCACATTGTGGAGTTATCATGTGTAAGTACCTGCCAAACGGGAGCAGACAGAGATAGATGAAGCTGCACTGTTTGGGAATAAATTGGTTCGTTTTTATTTTATTTTGCAAAGTATAAGAAGTTGGAGTACTTGGAGAAAAAATGCTTTCAAGTCATTGGGATTATCAAACAGGTCTGACGAGTTAGCACAGAAACGGGGGGTTCGTGGTTTCGTCTGATAACTTTCCCTGATTGCACAAACTTAGTAATTGTAATTGAGAATAAAATTGCTATCTTGCAAATCACGAGCAGAGGGACTGATCACAGACACTAAGAGTCTCCTCCATCCGTCCAAATACCTGCATTTCTATGAGAAGTTTGGCTTTTCCCTGTGCTCTTGAATGCATCTCCGAGCAACGCTTATAGTACATTTAGATAAAGATTAAGAAATACTTTGGCAGTCCTACAGTGGGGATAGTTCAGTGCGGCATTACAAGTTATAGAAGAACACAACATAAGCATATACTAATACTTTATACTAAAAAGAAAATAAATACATAAATTCAAACAGCTCAACCGTTTTGTTTTCACGAGTGCTTTGTAAATCCATGTATTGTTTTTTTTTTTGGGCCAGATACAGTATGTTCAGGTCTTAGATAGAGTAATGACTGTTAAATATCCAATGCAAAGCTGATCTCAGACTTCCTGTATATATACATTATGTGTTTTCTGTGAAGAAGAAAAGTTTCCTAGACTTAAACAAGTAATACATAACATATTCCACCAATATGGGGCAAGCTTGCGCTATGAACCAGTTTGCATCTGCAAGCAGCAATACATGCCCTTCACTCCACTGGTAAAAATGTGGCTACAGAAAAAATAGGATACAGATGAAATACAATGTCTAATCTTTAATTGAAGCACATGTGGTAAGAATCAGCCAGGGAAATATTAGACACCTGCAGCTTTGAAGTGGAGGGAACATCATTTGAGAGCAAAAACGTGTCTCATAA